GGTAAATGTTTCCTTCCCAAATAAGAACTAATTATATTTCAGATAAGACTTGCATGCTTTTTTTTTTTTTTTTAATAGCAAATCAAACTTTTATTAATAAAATGAGTACAAGGGGTACTCAGTCCATTATACACCATTCAAGCACCCTTCACAAAATCAATCATGTCATTCCAACCAATCCCCTGGCATTCTTCCTTCCTCCATAGTTATCTTTCATACATGCAACAGGGTTAATTAGCCAATCTGATAAGGTAAAGGCATACCTTTCTTTTCTTGTTTTAATCCATAAATAAGACCTCAGTTTTATAAGCACAAATAGCTTCCCCGGATTGATCTCTTTGTCCTAGAATATCTTCTCATTTCGAGCAGTCCAAATAGTCCAAACAACGGTACTCCAAATGCAGTCCCATCCTTCTCTAGTACTTGGTTCTTTATTCCATTCCCCAAAGTTTTCAAATGTCTTCCAGCAATCACTATCCAATGTTACCTTGGCCCCCCACCATTTAGTACAAGCCTCCCACAACCATCGAACAATCTTGCATTTTAAGAACAGATGTGCATAATCCTCTTCATCTTCATCAGACATAATGCACTTACTTTCTCCCATGTCTTTAACAATCCCTCTTCTCAACAAGTTCACCTTAGTTGGTATTCTATCTAACAATAGTTACCAGTTGAATGTTGATATTTTGCTCAGAAGGATGGGAATCCAAATTCTTTTGTAGGTTGTAGTTCCATTTGATCCCCTTTGTTCCCTTGTTAAAAATGAATACGCTGTTTCAGTTGAGTAATGGCCATCCTTGTCATGAACCCACTCCCATTTATCGGGGTATCCTTGGGATATCTTCACATGCTCTATCATATTCTGTAGTTTTGTGACCACGTCACCTTCTCATTCAAGCAAATTTCTTCTCCATGATAGGATTAGTCATATTTGAAAGATAAGACTTGCATGCCGACGTGGCTCTAGTAATGTAGCGTTGTTATTATTGCGGTATTTGGCTGTGGCCGTCAGAAGTTACTAGACAGTACCGTGCCGTCGCATGGGACATACAATAAATTAATTTATAATTTTAATTTTCATAAATTTTATTTTTAATAAAGATATTGTTTATTTTTAAAAATTAAATATAAATTAAAAGTTAATGTAAAATATATTTGGATAGTTTTTTAATATATATTAATGTTTTTTAATAAAAAACTATAAAAAAATTTTCATTTATGCTTATACTTATTTTCACACATTAATTTAGAATACTACTTTTCTTTTTATACAAATAAAAGGATTTCTGTAATATCAAAAATAAAGAAAAAAATTTATAATATGTTTCAATTGAGGGAAATGTAAATGTAACACCCCAAATCCGATATCGGTGGAGACTTGTAAGTAAACTTGGTATATAATTATAAAAATTAACTACTATTAATAACTTAAGTTTGAATTTTTTTAGGGCTCATGAACTTTACCTCAAAGAGTTGTTAGGTCAGTAACAGATTTCGATCCAATTCGTTTTAGGGAGGGAAGATTTTTTTATCAATCAAATTGTAATGTTTTTTAAATATTGCAATTTGATTGGTAAAAAATTTTCCTCTCCTCCTCCACCCAAATATATTATTAATTAAACATTTGAAATGGAAATGAAAAATACTAATATTGTAAAAAAGAAGAAGTTATTACTTTTTTTTTTCTTCTTCTTCTTTTTGAGAAAAAAATGATAAAATTATATTAGTACAAGAAAAAGAGAGTTCATTAGGGTTGTTTTAGAAAGTGAACTTCTAGCACATAAGTAAGATAAAATGTAACAACAAGAAATGAACATTTATTAAAAATAACAAAAGTTAAAAATGGTGATATTCCCATCTTGAAAAATTGGTTAGTACACATATGGCTATTACTATTGACATATCACAATGTTGAGTTAGAAAAAAATTCATTATGAGTTCTCTACAATTCAAAACGTTAGAGATATTGGCAAACAAAATTGAATGGTATAAAAAGAGTCAGACCCAATGTTAATTTTAGAAAATCTCTTGATAACAATTAACTTGGAGGTTATTCTCTATGGTTTAAAGTTTAACACTTACTCTATTAATAATGCCTATATTCTTGATAAACCTCATAATCTAATTGTCATTATGATATTTGAAGATCCCTTCTTTGCCAATAGGTTTGAGAAAGGTAGCCCTCCAATATTACTGTTCAATAAAATATAGAGGAGGTTTATACCAGTAAAATATACCAAGTTACCTATTAGATAAATCAGATTGAATAAAAAAAATTGACTAAAATTTAATAGCTTTATAAATAATAATAGAAAGTCACTTAGAATCTTAAAATAAGAATTTTTATAAAACTTGTAATTTTTTTTGTTATTAAATTTCCCAAATAATGAATAAAAAAAAAAGTAATCCAAGGAATTTTGGCATAAGAGAATCATCTATGCATTTACCTCTTGTTTGATTTAAGGGAGACAAAGTCCCCTCACTTGTTTGGTTAGACTAAAATGTAAAATAATAATAATAATAATAATAAGGAAAGAAAAACCCTTCTCCTCCCTTCATTTCCCCTCCAATTTTTTATTATCCAAATAGAGAAGTTTTTCTTCATTTCCTCTCCTTTAAACCAAAAAAGACATTATTTTTAACTTTTAATCAATCAATAAAAAAAACAATAGCATTCTCAGTATTTACAACATGGATGATTTTATTTCAAATTCTCAATAAGTATGAAAATTTTAATTGTTGATATGGAGATATTAGCAATAATAGTAAGGCCCCACGCGATGAAGAGCACTCCCCATCCCCATGGTGTTTTTTTGAAGGAGAAAAAAAAAATCTTCTCTCATCTCAGTTTACAGTAATTTATAAAAATTTATCATATGATTTTTTTTTCTTTACAATATTAAATGGCATATGTATTGAGTAGCTAAGTTAGACTTGAATTGCATAATGAATATTGGGTTTTGTCATTAAAATGAATGATAAATTAAGTAAATACATTGAAATTTGTTCAAGTATTGGTAGAACCCAATTTACAATAATTTATAAAAAAAAATTATTGTATTGTTAAGGGTATATTAAATGGAGTCCCCATGAGAGGAAAGGGAAATTGCCACCTTTAAATAAAATATTTGGTTTAAAGAAAACAAATGAAAGAGAACAAATGAGGTTTTTCTTTTTTTTTAGGCAACTCTTTTCCTATAAAATGAGAGGCAACCCATCTTTCATCCTTTTACATGTCATGTGATTTGAATTTTGAAACTCCAGAACTCTTACTTCCACTGGAAAAAAATTACCATTGAAAAGAAATTACCACTGAGCTATATAGGTCATTGGCAAAAGAAATGTATTTTATAACTAATCAAATTATGACATTTTTAAATATTACAATTTAATTGGCCAACAAATCCATCACTTCTCTTCCTTCAAACCAAACACATGAGAGATTTTGGCAAAAATCTTTCTTAAACCGCCAAACTTACTCCAAAATAGTATTTAAGCCTATAAACTAAAAAAAAAAGCAGATAAACCCTCCAACTTCATTAATTAACAATGTAAATAAACCCTTTCCACAAATGAGTCAAACAGTACTTTATGTTAAATATTACCTTGAAAGCATGGACACCCATGAATTAGAAGAGTTTATTTGCATTATTAGTAGAGTTTGGGGGCTTATCTACTTCATTTTTTGTTTAGGGGCTTAAATGTTATTTTTGGATAAACTTGGGGGCTTAAGAAGGATTTTTGCTAGAGATTTTCAAATCGTAAACAAAAATATTTTGTGTAAAATTTAATATTTGTAGACAATTTCAAATTTTTTTTGAACTAAAATATTAAATTAGAATATTACTACCAAAATATTAAATATTAAGGAGTGTATATCAAAATTGAAACTAATTTAAAACTTATTGAAAATAATTAAAAATATACAAAAATAACTATAGAATATTAGATATGACACAAATAAGGAATAAAACATTATTTTAAGAGGAAACAAAAAATACTCTATTAAAAATTGAACATAATGTCCACCAACATAACACAACTAATAAAGTAGCATAACAATATAATATGAAATGTGTTCTTTAATTATGAATTTTAAAGTGTTGAAACATGTAAATTACTAATAAGTAAATATATATTCAAAAACTAAGAAGGAACGTAGAAGTAAATACTTTTGAGAAAATTAAAGAAAATAATTTTTTAAAAAAAATCGAAAAAAAAAACTTAAAATATTATGGTTTTAAATTGATAAAAAAATTTAAATATTAAGTTCTAGTCCAAATTTAAATCCTAAAACTCTAAGTCATAAATTTTAAAAACTTCAACTTTTAAATTTTTATTAATGAACTCTAAAATTTTAAAATCCAAAACTCTAAAATTATAAAACTAAATGTTAAATTCTAAAATTTTAAAGTTTGAATTTCTAATTTTTCATGTTAAATTTTAAATATTGAAACATAAAATTATTCTTCCTAAATTCTAAAAAAAATGGGCTTAAAAATAATAAATACTTAATTTAAAAAGTAGTATAATAGAAAAAATCTAGTAATTTTTTTTAATATTGTGAATTAAATGTTTTAATGTACACTTTTTTTATATGATTTTACCCAAATAATAGGTCTCTTTTATCAATTTTTCATTTAAAAATATTTAAATTAACAAAAAGTAACAGCAAATATATACTGAGGGTATAATGGTCAAGTGGCATTAATTAAGCTTTTGGATTTGATTTTGTTTTGTTTTTTGTTTTTTTTTTTTTTTGCCATAATTTTGAACTTTAACAATAACTGATCTCATTAAATAACAATTTAAAAAAATACTCCATTGTAAAACAAATTACCAAATAAAGAAAGTTTTGTAATATGTAAAAAGTACCTTAAATAAAGGATTATATATAGATTTAGTACATAACATGATTTTCTTTTGTTAGTTTCTCTCATAATATATAGATAGATTTAAAATAAATTTCTAATGCAACATGACTAAATAGTTGAGTCAAACAAAAAAAAATACCAAATAGAAGATGAGGAGCATCAAATCTAATTTAAATCTAAAATAATTAATTGAATAAAACTTAGAATTAAAAAAGAAATGAGTACAATTTTATGAAATGATATTAATAAAACTTGAATGATATAACATAAAAGGGGCTGGGTTATTGTTATATTTTAAATAATTAATACCATATCATTTTAATATAATTGTCTATTATACTCTTACATTACTTTTTTTTAAATTCTATATGTTTTTTATTTCTTAATGAATTAAAAATATAATAGTTAATTAAAATAAAAAAAATGTGGCATTAACAATTGAAAGCGTGATAATAACATCACCTCACAAAGGGGAGAAACGATGACTTTTCTATGCTTAGCTTTGTATGTATTTAAATTTAAGTCTTTTTTTACTGACATTATTGTTTTTTCATACTTAACTCTCTCTACATGAATAGCTTTAATATTGTTAAAAAAATAAAGCTTCATACTTTAATTTTACAAATATTATATAATCACTATTTAAATTTTGTAAAATGATATTAATAAAACTTTAAAAAATAATAAAAAAGTGAGGTTATTATTACACCATAAATAGTTAATACCATATTATGTTAATATAATTATTTTACCCTTACATTATATTTTTTTCTCAAAATTCTACATTTTTTTTTGTTTCTTATTAATTATTATTAGTTATTAATTACTTAAAAAAAGAAAATGGAAACGTTGCAAGAAATGGCTAGAAAAAAGAAAAAACCGCCGTTCCAAGTGTTCATGTAAAGAAAAGTGCAGCAAAAAATGTACTGCACAATTTTTAAACATATATACTTGTAATATATTAATTGATGGTAGAATAACTCATTGAATAGAGTGATTTTTTTTTTTTTAATATTTTTGACTCTAGTAATAAAAAATGTTTTTCTAACCTATGTTTTTAAAATGGAAAATGATGTGTGCACACCCGGATCCAACACCCGGGTGTGCACACATCATATAAAAAAAAAAATACCCATCACTCGATCCAAATGTTTTTTTTTTTATGTGGGGGGTGCACACCCGAGTGTTGGATCCGAGTGTGCACCAATCATTGTCCTTTTAAAATAGAGGTTAATAATAATTTTTTATTATAAATATATAAAAAATATAAAAATTAATATTAATTTTAGTGTTAATATTAAATAGGTAAATTTAATTAAACAATTAATAAATTAAAAATTAATTTTTATTTTTATAATATAAATTTATAATAAAAATGTATATTTAATATATTCTTTGTCTATACCCTTAGGGTATATGTTAGATGAACTCTAATAATAATAATCACATTTAAAAAAGAATTCAAAAAAAAGAAATTTACCACAAAAAAAATTTATCAAAAAGAAAAAATTAAGTCGTGTTAAAAAAAGAGTAAATTAAGGAAGACATGTGAATCTGACATGTGACAAATTAAACTTTTTCTCTTAATTGTTTCTCATTTATAATCTATATATATAGATGTTAAGCATTTATTAATTCTAAATAAATATTAAAATTAAAAAAATAAAAATGAATGAAACTCTCCCTCTCCTTTTTTT